CCCCCCCCCCCCCCCCCCCACATAATTGAATCACTATGGATTAAAATCCCGAAATGACGTGCTAAATGACTTGGTTTTCTTTAAACAGAGTTCCCGATGAGGGAGGAAAACGGTGAGGTTAAAAGGCGGAATGAGTTGCGGAATGTGGCATGGCATGCGGAATGACATAATTATACAGAATGTAATATGTGGGAAATGGCCCAAAGACATAAATTAAACAGGAAAGCATGCGCGCGTCTCAGTTGCCTCGCCTTTTTTGGGGCGTCAAATTGAGTGAGCAACCGCTTTGACTGTGCATTTATTACTGCTGGCTCAAACCAACAAGGCAGAGCAGAAAGAAGCGGTAAGCTTTACTGCATTCGTGTCTACGTAATAATTAATTAATACTTACTTAATTTTTGGTGTTTTCGACAATACTTTCTCTCTTTCCGCCCACCATTCTAATACAGTGAAACCCCTATTAAGCGGACCCCCAATTAAGCGGACACCCTCTTAAGAGGACACAAAGCCGGGTCCCGAAACGAACGTCTAATATTTCCCTTTAACATATAGATTTAGCCAGGGCTAAAAGCGAAGCTCCCGATAATATTCATAGTTTGCTCAAACAAAATGTAAAATCGTGTAATGCTAAGCGGCGAAAAGAACGAAAACGGTGAAAAACCAAAAATAGGTCTAATTAGCAAAAAAGCAACTTTGCATTTGCAGCACACTTTCTTTGTACATTTCTTTGCCATTGTTTTGCACGACTACAACGTGAGGCCTGTCGCCTTACTTCCTCTTTTTCTCTGACTTTCTCTTCCTCTATTTTCCAAATTTGTGGAAAACTTAATACTTTACACAACAGGATACAGAAACAATTTCCGCTTTCCGTTCTCATCGTTAGTAGGGAGCATCGACGACGGCAACGGCAGCGAAAACGTCAGTTTTAAAATGAATTCCCGTTTTTTAAATCTTTGTCGCGTTTATTCCAACTTGCTGAAAATGACGAGTGTAGGCGAATTTCCCTGGAGTTGATTTCTTGAGGACCGCC